CCGACAAACAACTATAACAAGAATTGGCCCAACATAATAGCCGCTTTCTCCAACAACAACAAATTCCGACGACCATTGACGAAGAAGAGCTCGAGGACGAAGATGCGGAGGAAGGGGAACCGGAGATGGCCGAGGAGGAGGGTGGCGGAAGCCACGACACCGACGAGGCTGCCTCATCCCAACCCGATAAGAAAAAAAGTAAATCCGAACTTATGAAAAATAATTTTGATAAGTGGAAGGACGCAGAGACCGGGAATTGGCACGCAACTTGCAAGTGTGCCAAAAAAATTAAAGCTTGGGGATTTCTGGCAGATACGGATCATTGTCAAGGCATCTTAAGGTCAAACACATCGTGGAGTATGCAAAATTGGACAAAGGCAAGGGGAAGCAAACTCAAATATCGAGATCTGCAAATGACCAACCTTTTGGTAATTTCTCATACAATACAATGATGCACAACATTTGAGTGGTATGTCTAACTTAATTGTTGAAGAAAATTTGCCATATTTGTTTTCTGAAAGTCTTGCTTTACGAGATTATGCTCAAGGTAGTTTAAATCCGCAATTTAGAAATTATAGTCGCAAAACGATTAAGAAAGAAATTATAAGGCTTTATGGTGTGGAAAAGGTAAGGTTACAAAATTTTTTCATGTTGCCCGACTATGGGCTCAGCCCTTTTCGTGTACATTATTTAGTCTTATTATTTCTTGTATAGTTGGGATATGAGCTCATAATCTTGTATTTACGATTAAGCCGGTGGTGGTGGAGGTGCTCTTGGTTTGGAAGAAGATTGTTTATTTTACTGCGCTTTTTTTATTGTTGTTGATCAGACTTGGTTTCTTTTAGTTGTTATTTCTTTCAACTGTAAGACTCTTACATTAGATTTGGGTGAGATTTGGTCTGCTTCAATCATCTGTGGCTCATGTTTGCCCATTAATGGATCAGCGAGTTATATTACTTTTTTGAAGGTGATTAATTCCAAGTCTGGTTCGTGGGCTGAACGCGGTTCCTTACTTTGTTTACTCCCTTTCTGAATGCTTATGCTTTAATAACAACTTAAGCCCCCTTCTTCCAAAAAAAAACTACATTAAAAGATAGTGCGCATTGTCAGCACGTGAGTTTGGTTAGATATATAGATTGAGGGTTGTAGGAATAATTTTTTGTGAGTATTATTAGTATTTTAATTTGTTTTGAGTATTATTAGTATTTTAATTTATGGTATATCAGATTTCTGCTAGTTTTTTGGAGACTACAGAATAAAGAGGCTAATGCATAAATATATGATAATTAGATAATTAAATGTAATGATGGTAAAAAATTAGTACAAAGAATAAAAAGGGAATATTCCTTTTTTAGTGATGAAAATGGTGTAAACTGATGGAGATAAAATATTGTATGACGTGATGTTTACACCATTTTAGTGCAAAAAATAGTATAAACTCTTGAAGATGGCCTAAGTCCTCGCGTCACTCACCCCCTGAGGCTCTGCTCCTCCCTACTAGATCCTCCAGCTCCGGCTACCACCTCTTTTAAGCCCAACTCCCCATCCTGTTAAGTCCTTCACGGCTCGACTCCTCAGCTTCTCCCGCTCTCGTTGGCCCGTGGGATTCAGCTTTTCTACCAACGGTTGACGGTAGCCGGTAGGTTGTCGACTACTAGTAGGGGTGTGCACCGGTCCAAAACCGGACCAGACCGGACCGGAACCGGAATCATCATTTTCTTTGGACCGAAGACCGGACCTGAATCTAACCGGTCCGGACTAATCCGGACCTGAATTTTCCGGTCCGGTCCGGTTTTGACCCTAATTGACCCGGTTTTAAAAAATAAATATTATCTTAGAGTGTTCTTAGTTGGCCCCAAATTTTTTAGGAATAAGGCTTGGATGTTGTTGTTCTAAATTATAATTTTATGTGCGGATATGCTAAATAGACTAAATAGTTGTTTATCTAGCTCATTTATTATTTTTGGAATATAGTTATCAAAACTATTCAATCGTAAAAATTAGTTTCCCACAATAATTAAAACTACAATCTTTTGTGTATATTAAAATGTAAAATCTATTATAAAGTAATAAAAACTAAATTAAGTCCAAAAATATACTACGTATAAACTACATGTGCACCTGCAAATAAAGAAACAAATAAAAAGCAGAAAAATCACATAAATAAATAACAACTTAGGAAATAATTACTCACCAAATATACACTCCGTATATATTCATTTATATAATAAAAGACAAAAACAAGTCATAAACATAATGACTAATGATACAAACCAAGTATATATTTTACGGGAAAATAGGTTACCGGTCCATTCTGGTCCGGACCTGTTTTTTCCGGGTTTGACCCGGACCGGACCGGAACCCGGAATCTTACAAAACTAAGGACCGAAACCCGGACCGATTTATACCGGTCGGGTCCAGACCGGTCCATTCCGGTCCGGTTCAGGTCTAAAATACGGTCCGACCCGGTTAATGCACAGCCCTAACTACTGGTAATTGATCTATGGCTAGAAATCTATCTACCTGATAGCTTCTATTAATCTCTCTTTTTATTATATTTAAATTTAAATTTTGGGACTATAGAAATAAATCCAGGCACCGAATATGTCACTTTTAAGTATTAAAAATCATTTAACGATACACGTGGAGGATTTAAGTTCATCATTAGTCAACTTAAAAATCAAATTGCAAATCAATTCGGACGGAGTAAGACTTTTTTAAACCTAATCTCATTTTGTTTTAAGATTTCCTCTACCACAGAATTTAAGCTAACCTACAATTTTATAAATGAGTAAATAATTGAATGTGTGAATGAAGATGTTGAGATGTGTACTTTTATTGTTGTTCACTTGTTTGCTTGATTTGATTCATTATCTGTGTTAATACTTTGCAAGAAATCAGAGTTGTTTATAGCAAGATTTAATAGCTAGAATCTGCCAAGAATTTAAAATTGTGCTTATGACTATTAGTAAGGAGATGTGTTTATGCCTATTAGGATGTTTTCTTTTGGACTGAAGTTCGCTTGAATTGTAATTGATTGGTCTTTTTTTTTGGTAAATGACTGGTCTTTGTGTATGTTATAACTATGGAATTATGGTCTGGGACTGAAAACAGTTCAAAAGAAAACATCCTTATTGAGCGAGATGCTATCGTAATTTTATACTTTATTAAAATATTATATTATGTCTTACTTTCTACTCACTGTTTTAGTTTTTGTTGAAAAAAAAGGTACAATGGCAAAATAGTTGCATTACACAAGATTATTGTTCTTAATTTTATTTTTAAACTAATCTCGAACACCCAAAACAAAGGTTTTAGATCTGCCGCTGTCCAAGTTGGTCTGTATTTTGGGTGTTTTGTCTATAGTTCCATATATATATTGACTGCTAGCTACATTCACGACTATATTTCTATCATTTGCAATGGAGCCAAAGATTCATTATTTTTTGGCTTGAGAATATAATAGAATAAAACAAAATGAGTCACTAAACTATCTGCGATTCTTTGTTATGAAGCAGCGGTCAGTCCATGCAATTTTGGATGCGATTTTCACTATGTGTCATCCGGAAACAGTCTCTTTGTGCTTTAGTACAGGTGTAAGACTGCGTACATTCGACCCCCCTTTACCCCACCGTAGGTGGCCTTTGCGGCACTGGGGTAAATGAAAATAAATGAAATGAATGAGCTACCTTTAATACAGTGCTAAAACTCAACCTTCTTTTAATTTCCTTGTCAGTTTTGCTTTTGATAAGCAAGCTTCATCCTACTTTAAGAGGATCACAATGGAGGAAGCACCCATTTAACTTGCTGCTGCTATTTTTTCTAGACATATAATAGCACTTCCATCTTTAAAGTATACTCTTTCCTTTTTCTTCAATTGAATTTTGTTTTTGGTCCAAGAAGCTTGATCTACATTTCCACTTTGTCTTAAACATTTAATAGTTTTGATTCCATCATTCTAAGATGACATTGGTTTGTCTTAGATTACAATGCCAATTTAGTAACAAATAGATACAAGGTCATGATGTTTAACAAGATAAATGTTTAGTAGCGGAAATGTGTTTTAAACTTTATTAAAGTTTTAACTATAGATGTTCTTGGCTTCTTGCGTTTATCTTGCTTTGAGCCTATAAAATGTTTGAAATTTTGAATGATTTCTTTTCCAATGTCAATTCTGTAAAACAGCTATTTTTTCAGTTTTTTTATCTCATTTATACCCATGGCTTCTTTTATCCTAAACTCTGCAACTTGAAACTTCCAATTTTCTTCAATATCTATTTCCTCTAGCTGGCAAAAGCACAATGCTCTTTTCCAATTTTATTGGTATACTAATTGTATTTTATTGGTATACTACTTGTATTCTCTCGTCATTTCATGGGAATTGGAGTTGTGGACTCGTGGGATATTCTTTCGAACTACATTCCAGCATACTACCTTCGCTGGAAATGCAATAATAATCAAATCTTGAAATGATGGAGAAGTTATTTTTTCTTAAATTTGATTTACTTGTTATGATTTTGAGGCTTGATTTGATTTGCCTTAAATGCTAATACCTGGTTAACTTTCATATATTTAAACTTCCTTATCACTCTTTTAAATTGCTTAGATGGTTTGTCAACTTTGTGCAGCCTTGATGACCATTTATTGGAGTGGAGGAACGATTGGATTAAATTGAAGGTGAGAATTAAACAAAATATTCTGAAAACATATTTTTGAAATGTTTGTTCTGCAATCTGAATTCTGACTGTGGTCATGATTGGGCTAAGAGTCCATGGTTAGAGTCCATGCTTGGGTGACCCACTGACCCGTACCTATACAATTCAGATTGCTTACTAGGAGTGGACATGATCTCAGTCTCGGGACCGGATTGTTTTTAAACAAAACTAGAAGTTTGGAACCAGTCTGACAATTCCGGATTGGTCTTGGCCAATCCTGAGACCAGAACTGGCCCCGGACAGCACCACCTTACCATACATCAACTTGTATAGCACAATATATGCGCAAAATGGGTGTCAAGCTATCTATGAGACTAAGATATATGCATTCTCTGAAGGGTGAGATGCTAGTAATACAATTTTAGTAATGCTAAAATACAACTTTAGGGGTTCTACAATCTTTACAACATGTGCAATATAGGGAGGTACATAGTTCATTAGTGGCTAGAGCCTAAAGTTGTGAGATCATCAGTAACATCATCGGATCATCATCATCCATCACAAGTTTAACCCCATTGTTCTTGAGGCCATTGACTATAGCCCAGACCTTGGTGCGGTTCTTGAAGCCCTTCTTCTCAACCTCCTTGGTTACATTGACATGAATTCCACTTCCCCCTCCACCTTGATCGATTCCCTCCACTTTGAGGGGCCTGGCCAAGACCTCTCCCACAACTACAACAGCTTTAGCATTGCAACTTCTCCCACATTCAAACAAGTTCTTGAGCGAGTGCTCGACGCTGGACGCTGTTGCAGTTATCCTGCCGTTGTTCCTGTCCATCACATTTGCAGTTATGTACTTCAAAGATATGAACAATCTCAAGACGTACCTCTTCACCACCACCATACCCTGTGAACTCAAACACTTCCATTAAGATGTGTGTGTGTGTGTGTGTGTGTGTGAGAGAGAGAGAGAGAGAGAGAGAGAGAGAGAGTACTTCAAAAAAGCTGATGAAGCGGATTCCGTAAGGGAATGTTTGGTTGGGTTCGTTGGGAGATTTCGGAGGGAAGGAAAGGGAATGATTCATATTTGTTTGATTAATTTATCTTTACTTAAATGTCTTATTGTAGAATAAAAAACAATATGTTTAATAAAATTAAATATTTTTATATAACTTCTCACCTTCAATTTAATCCAATCATCGAAATGTAATAATACGTTAATAAAATAAATATCATTCCTCCACTCAAATAAATGGTAATTAAGGCCGCACAAACCTGATAAATCATCTAAGCGATTTAAAAGAGTAATAAGGAAGCTTAAATATATGAAAGTTAACCAGGTATTACCATGTAATGCAAATCAAATCAAGCCTCAAAATCATAACAAGTAAATCAAATTTAAGAAAAAATAACTTCTCCATCATTTCAAGATTTGATTATTATTGCATTTCCAACGAAGGTAGTATGCTAGAATGTAGTTCAAAAAAATATCCCACGAGTCCACAACTCCGGTTCCCATGAAATGACGAGAGAACACAAACGGTATGCCAATAAAACTAGAAAAGTGCATTGTGCTTTTGCCAACTAGAGGAAATAGGTATTGAAGAACATCGGAAGTTTCAAGTTGCAGAGTTTAGGATAGAAGAATCCATGGATATAGATGAGATAAAGAAAGTGAAAATAGTTGGTTTACAGAATTGACATTGGAAAAGAAATCATTCAAAATTTCAAACATTCTATAGGCTCAAAGCAAAATAAAAGCAAGAAGCCAAGAACATCTATAGTTAAAACTTTAATAAAGTTTAAAACACAAATCCGCTACTAAACATTTATCCCAAGGGTCAAGGAGGGCTGGAGAAGCTGAGGAGTCAAGCCGTGGAGGACTTAACAGGATGGGGAGTTGGGGTGAAGAGAGGTGGTAGCCGGAGCTGGAGGATCTAGCAGGGAGGAGAGCCTGGGGGTGAGTGACGCGAGGACTTAGGCCATCTCCAATAGTTTACACTATTTTTTACATTGAAATGGTGTAAATATCACATCGTGCAGTATTTTATCTCCAACAGTTTACACCATTTTCATCACTAGAAAGGAATATTCCCTTTTTATTCTTTTTACTAACTTTTTACCATTATTACATTTAATTATCTAATTATCATATATCTATACATGAGCCTCTTTATTCTGCAGTCCAAAAAACCAATAGAAATCTGATATACCATAAATTAAAATACTAACAATACTCAAAACAAATTAAAATACTAATAATACTCATAAACAATTATCCCTACAACCCTCAATCTATATATCTAACCAAACTCACCTGCCGACAATGTGCACTATCTTTTAATGTATTTTTTTTTTAAGAAGGGGGCTTAAATTGTTATTGCAACATAAGCATTCAGAAGGGGAGTAAACAAAGTAAGGAAACACGTCCAACCGTCAGCCCGCGAACCAGACTTGGAGTTAATCACGTTCAAAAAAACATTATAACTCGCTGATCAATTAATGGGCAAACATGAGCCACAGATGATTGAAGCTGACCAAACCTCACTCAAATCTAATGCAAGAGTCTTACAATTGAAAGAAATAACAATTAAAAGAAACCAAGTCTGATCAACAGCAATAAAAATAAAAAGCGCAGTAAAATAAACAGTCTTCTTCCAGACCAAAAGCACCTCCACCACCGTCGTTCTTGTACAGATCCTCCCCATAGACCGGCAGACCTACAAGAGGTCTGCCTCCTCTCTGTTTTTTTGGATCAACCAGTGCATCTCTTCCTTTGTAGCATCTCCTTTTTGCCCCATTTCTCAGGTCCTCCTACGCTTTGGATTCCCTGAGACTTCCTTCGGACTAACCGAGTTACCTTCCTTTATGGAGCTAGTTATCGTACCTGTAGCATCCTTCAAGTCCTGTTTATCAGCCTTCTGTTCTTCAGACATTCCCAACTCAGTACTTGATGACCCCTCAACTAGTCACTTAGAACCTCCTGTGGGACTGATCTGCACCCTCGTCCCCGCCTTCAGTTCGACTCCATAATTTTTGTCAAAAGTTATATTCTCCCCCTCATGAACTATCGAGCAAAATTTGTCAGAGTGCCCAATAATACCGCAAACAAAGCAGAAATTTGGAAGTTTTTCATATTTAAAATTCACCCATTGACTAAACCCTACCTTCTTAAGTATAGTACCTTATTTAAAAGGTCATCTAACATCCATACGGACTCTAATCCTCAAGTATGACTTAAACTTTTCATCAGATATAGACTTTTTGTCATCAAATTTATGAAATTCTCCAATAAAATTACTAATTTTCCTGACAGAACCGAGATTCATAAAGCCATACGCAGCATCACGCACTTGCACCCAGAGCTCAGCCTCGTATAGCTTAACCTGGCTAGGAATATCCTCAGTCTTAATCTCTTTTAGCAATAATAAATTACGTTCAAACGACCACGCCCCCTCATCAAGAACACGCCGCATATCCAGAATATGATAAAAAGTGAATAAGTACCTTTTTTCGTCAATCTCCTGAATTGAAACTCCCTTGACAGGCCTCCACAGCGATGCCATCAATTCTTTGAAAAATTGGAATTTAATCTTTCTATCAATCAGAATGACACCTACCACTGGGAATTCGGTCGAGCTTTTGACAGATTCCTCGCCATCTTCTTCTTCATCAAAAATTACCTCTTCCTTGTCATCCCCAATAGCCATTTGTATGTATTGGTTGACCACATCATCCATCTATTTGCCCCCAGCGAACTGCCTGGAAGCCGCCTCGCTGCAGCCAAACCTTACATGATTCCCCTTCAGGTGACCGAGGACGAGTTCTAGGCGATGCGAAGCTTCCAAGGACGAAGTAGAAAACCAATGTCGTCCTTCGATTAAAATCGAAGACGGAAAAACTCTAAGTGGCTGAAGCCCAAGAGAGAAGCGAGAGTAATTCCAATTTAAATATTACACAAATATAAAAAACTGAATATGAGGTTATCATTTTACCGTAGTTAAAACATACAGAGTATTAGCAATACGAAAAATTAATAACAACCTCCTAAGTTCCATACTATTACTTTTTAATCTGCTTTCACTCATTTAAAGCAAATGGCACAGGTATTGGCGTACGCCGTATATGGCATAAATCCAAACCCCCTCCCCCAAAATGGTGAAATGGTGAAAGAGATGGTGTAGTCGTTGGAGCAATTTTTTGACAAATCCACCATTTTGGTGTATGATTTGATGATTGTTGGAGAAGCTCTTAGGCACCCCAGACTATTTGCAATTGTTTTTATTTTTAAAAAACATTTTTGAAATGATATTGGAAAAAATGATTACTAGTAATAAGAGTTAGTAATGACAATAAAAAAAGTGCGGAGTAATAAAAGTTAATATTGTTTCAAGAAAAAATTGATTTTGAAAAATAAAAGTTTGTACTATTTGATGAGTATGTGATTTTTTCATGTAATAGAAAAATTAAAAACACATTCTAGCATTTAGCTTTAGGTGTTTAATTTACAAAATTGCCCCAAATAGGAGTAAAAACGTTTTGAAATTTCAAAATAAAATTATCATGTTTTTTATTCCTTGAATATAAGTAATCTACCAAGTTTGGAAAAAATGTCAAGTTTAAAACCTAGTAATTTCAAACTTAATTGAAATTTATTACTATTCAGGAAATAAAAAAACATCATAATCCTATTTTAGAATTTCAAAACGTTTTTTTACTCTTGTTTAGAGAATTCTCTCTTTAATTTAAGTGAAAGTTGTTACTTAAAAACACTAATTTCAATTTTTTAATCAAGAGTTGAAAATCACTTTTTTTTAATCTATTGTAAACGCACCCTTAGGCTTGAATGACAACTCACATTTTTTATATTCAATTTTATGTATTTCGACTATATAGTATTATATGGCATCAAAATATATTTTGCACAATAATTTTAAATAATACCAATTGTCACGACTCACGAGTGAATGAATAAGAGTGCATATTATGGAAATAATATGCACATAATTACCCAACTTTTCAAAATTTCAAATGCTCTAGTGTATGGCAAATGTTGTTGTGATGGTCTGATGGATATATATTATATAGACATTAATTTTATCTATGAAAAGTTTACAGATTTATTAAATGAATTTTCTTAGCGCAAATATGCTATGTTTATAAGTAATTCTTACACAGACTCCGTATTTTTTTAACACAACAAAACACTGGGCTTATAGCAAAAGTAAACATTCAAAACAAGGCTGTTGTAAGAAAAGTATTGAATGGAAACAAAGCTAACGATTAAATGGGCACAAAGATTAAATGGGCACAAACTCATAACAAGAAACCTTGCAGATAGTCATTATCTTCCTCCAGTTCAAGTGTATTGAAGTGTTGAAGAGAAGGAAAAAACAAAGAGCGATCTCCATAAATCCACCATTCTCAAAGGCCTTCAAGCGGAAGCTGCTGTAGCCTTGTTTCGGGGAGCTGCTACAGTACCTTCTCTGAAATTGGTTTTGAATCGGCGAGGCACGTTGCGGAGATACTTCATACGACCAGTCCCGGTGGTCTTTCTACGGATAGCTTTCGCGCTCCAGTTATATTTCCTAATGCGTGCAGCTGGGTAAGCACAAGCAGAGCATCGGCTCTTCTGTAGATGGAAGCTCCGTCGGCCGCACCTCACACACAGAGTGTGTGTCTTGTTCCTCCTCTTGCCGAAGCTGCCAGTTCCCTTCCCCATTGCTGCCCAGCTGCAAAAACCCTAATTCACACAGACTCCGTATTATTTATGTGAGTGAAAATGAGTACAAATATGTACACTATGCTATGACAAGACCATTTTTATCATATACTCCGACCTCCGTATATGATAAGGCCATTTTAGAAAGATATTAAAAGGGTAACTTTTCATTCAAAATGTTCAAGAA